GGCATGGACGCCGAGGACCCGGCCTTCGAGCCCCGGCTCTGCGGCGAGCTCAAGCTGCTGTGCCGGCGGCTGCAGGAGGCCTACCGGGAGCTGCGCGACGACCTCACGCCCTTCAAGGATGACCGCTACTACAGGTGCCCGCGGGAGCGCGGGGGGCGTGCTGGGGGACGCGCCGGGGCCTGCCCTCTTGTCCCCAGGCCCCTGGCTAGGATGGAGGGCGTCAGGCCGCCCGGCGTGGCTGCGGCGGCGGCTCCTTCCCGGTTCCAGGGCGGGTCCGGGGAGCAGCGTGAAGAGGGGTTCCCTTTCCCCGGAGCCTGGGAAGAGCCCCAAGGGCCCCCTTCCAGCGTCGCCCCTCCTCCCCCCCTGCCTCCTGTGGGTCTCCTCCCGCCCCCCGAGCTCCCCTCCCCCCACGCGGGCCCGGGGGAGGGGGCAGGGCCTTGCTTCCTCCGCGCCCCGCGCCTTAGGGGAGCTCCTCCGTGGCGAGGGTTGGGGGCACCGCCTGGGGGACGGCGCCGGAGAAGCATCTAATTCCGCCCCCGCCCGCGGTGTGTGTGGGGGTGGGGTTAGTTTCACTTCTCTCCCCCCTCTTTTTGGGGTGGGGCTGCGGACCCCTCAGTGCTCTGCTGCACTGGGCTGGGCTGGGTTGGCAGGGAGGGGTCGTGAGGCCCCTGGCTGGCTTGGCTAAGGTTGCGGGGGGACTATGAAAGAACTCCGTCGGGACCTTTTGTTTCAGGAATCTTGGCTGATTTTGTGACTCAAGACGCGGATTGATTTGGTTACAAAATGGCTAGTGTGGTCCGCGAACTCGCCACCTGAAAGGGAAGTGCGAACCAAGAGGTCTCTGTCAGTCAGTTGTTGCTAGTAGCCTGGAGTGGATGCCTTCTCATGGTGACTGATGCATGCGTGCCCCCGGGGTTTCCAGACCGAGGGCCATCACCAGGCCTTGCTTTGGAGGCACCAATGGGTGGCCTCAAAATGCCACTCTTTCGGGGAGTACTGTCTGCCCCACCCAGGGATGCCGCTGTGTAAGACTATGATTCTAATGACCATTTGCTCTTGTGCCAAATGCATTGCATGACTAGCCAAAGGTGAGTGTTGTCATTTCCTGTTGTACACCAATAGTGACACGTGTGCATGAGAGTATCATTATATCATCTCATATTTATCCATTATATTATCATCCTTTATCCTCGAATCTTTTAAAAAGCCCAGTGGTTTCCCAGAGGCTAATCAGCAAGATATCGTCAGAGTGACTGAATTACAGTTGGAAATGTGCCCCTGCAGTAATGTAATCCAAGATGTTTTGGTCTGGAATAGCCCCCACTGGAAGGGTCTCCTGATTTGTGCCCCGAGTCCCAGCCTCCTGGGAGGTTGGCAACATGGGAAAAGAAGCCACAGAACAGTCCAGAGCCCATTGTTTAATGTGTGTTCCCACCTCCGTCCCCACAAATGTCCCCCACGCTAACTAATTCTCCTCTCTGTATTTCATTTTCCTGGGAACTTCTCTTTGGCAAATAAGCTAGTGCGTAATGACGTGGTGACAGGTGCCTTGCCAGGGACAGAGGGGAGAACAAAGCCATCCCCCGTTGGTCCACAACCTGACCATCCTCTATACATTCACCCACTGACTCACTTCATAGCTACTGAACCTCTCCTAGCATGGCCTGTTGTTCCAGTGCTAGGGTCACAGAGCGGACAAGACAGACAGGAGGCTGTCAGGAAATGAGCAAGTAATGATCCAAATGGACCTGTTTCTAGGAAGGTCATAAGCAGGCGATAAAGGGTGATGGGGGTATTTCTGAAGATGAAAGTGGGTGGAGAAGGGGGCATTGGACTGACAAGTAAAGAATAGAGTCATTAGGTGGTTGGCTAAGGAATCCTGGTGGTACTATGGGTTCGGCATTGGCCTGCGGACCACAAGGGAACATTTGGCCACATCCCATGGGAGCCGCTTGACTGCAGCTTGCTTTGCCTATTGTTGTTAGTGGGTGCCTTTGAGTCAGGTCTAATTCATAGTGGCCTTTCGTACAACAGAAACACTGCCCAGTCCCGCGCCATCCTCACCATCGCTGCGTTTTAGTCCACTGTGGGAGCTTCTATTTTTGAGGGGCTTTTTGTGGGCTGACCCTCTACTTTACCAAGACCTCCTCCAGGCAATGATCTCCCCTGGTAGCATGTCCAGAGTACGTGAGACGAAGTCCCGCCGTCCCCTCTTCTCGGGAGCTTCCCAGCAGAGGATACTGAGCAGAGGACGCATGCTTGGGCTGGCGCAGTATGGAGTGTACGTTGTGCGAGTAGGGGTGTTTCCAGGTCGTATAGGCACCTGAACTGCCTTGACGGCTCCATTGCATCTTTAGCTCAATGGCGTGCACCATCACAGAATGCAGTAAGAGACCCCCGCTGGCCTGTGAGAGTTACAGCTCCCGCATCTGTCTTGCTGGGAGGTGAACTTGCTACCATGCTCTCGGCTCCTCATTAGCGATTTATGACTAACAAGAATTCCGTAGCTCTTCCTCCCGGGGACCCACCACAGGTGGTTGACAGCTTCCTCAGCAGAAGGTGAAGCAGACAGCAGTTTCCCCCTCCCTGGTTTGATGGGCTGAGCCTCAGCTAGGCCATCTGACATCCCTCAGACGTGGCAGCCCTGTGATTAAGGAACTCGCGAGCATTTTCACAAAATAGAGAGGGCAAGTGTACCTCCTGTTGGGTAGGGAGAGCTGACACCCCCGTGCTGGTGGAAGAACAGCAAGTGAAGACACTGGGAACAACCTGGCTTTCAGTCCCTGCTCCTCCTGCGACTGAAGCCTGGCTTGGAGGAATCAGTGGATTTCACAGTTGCCAGTTTCCACCTCAGAAAAGTGAAACCTGTATTTCTCATCTCCTCAAGGACCTGCAAGGCCCAAATGATGGAGTGGACACGCCCCTAAAGAGAGCACTGAAATGCTTTCAGGCAGGAGCACAAACCATGCTGAGCCAGCAGCCTGATGTCAGCAAAGCCAATTGGCTGCTAGTAGCCTCTTGAGCAGGGCTGGCTGTGGCTCTCTCTCTAAGAAGAAGGAGGACATTCCGTGATATCTGCAGCAAAACTCTTTGCAACAAATGGCAAAAATGAAGCTCGACATGCATCGACAAGGACCTGGAGCATTCATATGCTGCAGATGGAAGAAGAGATTGGGACCCACGCCATAGGACACTGCTTGGTAGTATCTGCCAGAGTTGAAAACTGAACACAGGAGCTTTTTGGCTTAGCAGTTACTCTCTTAGGAGAGGAATCAACCAACCAACAAACTCACTGTTATCGAGTTGATTCCAACTTGCAGGACAGAGAAGAACTGCCTCTGTAGGTTTCTGAGACACTGTCTTATTACAGGAGTTTAGAAAACCTCGTCTTTCTCCCTTGGAGTGACTGGTGGTTCTGAATGCTCCCTTGCAGTTAGTAGCCTAACTCCTAAACACTACACCACTATTCCTTACAGAAACGCCTAGGTGCCCACCAAAAGCCACACACGAACATGCTGTTTTGAGCTTTTGAGCCAGTTCCTACTCCCGGACTGCACGGGATAGAGTCGAACTGCATTGTAGGATTACCTAGGCTGTCCTTCTTCTGCAGAGCAGCTGATAGATTCCAACCACCAGTGTCTTAGCTAACAGTCGCGTGCTTAATCATTGTGTCACCAGGGCACCTCTGTCCTAAAAGACGGCAACACTATTTGTAATACTCTTAACTGGACACTAGTTGTGTTCACATCAACAGTGGGGTGCACACCTACATTGTGGTTCCCTCCATAAGGAAATGTGATAAAGGGAATAAGGTCAACAATTTACAACACACAACACGATTCACTCGCACAATGTCAAGTAAAAGATGCCAGACCAAACAGGGGCTTTCTGTCTGGTTCCATTTCAACAGAAGGTGTGGACAGGCAGACCACCACATGGTTGGACGCCAAGACAGTGGTTTCCTTGATGGGGCAATGGCTGGAGGGAGAGTGCAGGTGGAGGTTGTGTGGGTCCCAGCAGTATTCTGTTTCTTGATCTGGGTGCTGGTTACTCACCACTCACCACCAGGGAGTCAATTCTAACTGATAGCAATGCCAAAGGTTTAGAGTCGAACTGCCCCTGTGGCTTTCCGAGGCTGTGAATCTTTATTTTATTTTATTTTTGGCTGTGAATCTTTACAGGAGTAGAAAGCCTCTTTTCCTCCCAAGGAGCGGCTGGTGGGTTTGAACTGTGGACCTGTGGTTAGCCGCCCAATAAATGACTCAGGCTGGTTCCTTTGGAGAACGGGTATCAAGCTGTGCATGTGAGAGGTGTGCTTTTATGTATGTATGTTTTTGTTGTTTGCCGCTGAGTGGATTCTGACCCATAGCAACCTCCTAAGGCAGAGTAGAATTGCCCCATAGGTCCCCCCAAACTGTAACCATTACAAAGGTAGATTGCCAGGCTTACCTCCCACTGAGCAGCTGGTGGGCTCCAACCACGACCTTTCAGTTAACCCCTGCTCACTTCAATAACTGCACACTACTAAAAAAAGCTTAAAGGAGACCAACTCTTGCCACAACGCCCTTGCCCAAGCATACTGTGCTTGCCAGGGGGTAGATGCCCCCGGGCACATACCTCAGAGACCCCAGGTTACAGTCAGCTGTATTTCACACACCTGCCTATCTCCACTCTGATCCCTATTGAACTGATGTTTCTGAGAATGCCCACGCCTGGAGAACACAACTCACTCTGACTTCTGGGCACTAGCAACTCTTCACAGATCAGATGTGGGGACATTGGGGCGTTTCTCAGCTAGCAGTCCGCTGCCACCATCAGTCAGTCGTCAGCCAGTCGATTCTAGCTCAGGGACACACCACGGATGTCAGAGCAGAACTCAGCTCTGGGAGGTGCTCAATGGCTGTGATCTTTCGGACGTTCCTTGTTCTTTTATCCAAGGCACAGCGGGGCAGATTCAAGCCTCCAGCCTCCTTCAGAGAGCGGTGAGTGTGGTCACGGTTTGTGCCTCCCAGGAGCCAATAATCTCGAAAAATGAGAGCAGGTACATGGGAATCATACTTGAAGTTCATTTTGGAAATGGACAGCCGCGATGGCTACGCGACGGTGAGTGCCATGCATATCGCTGACCTGTGCC